GCTAGTTCAAGTGGGATGCAACCTGGAATGCACGAGTAAAGTCCCCCACGGCTGCGAAGCAGGATGGTTTACAACCGCCTGGCCTCTTCCCAGAGGAGGGCCACCCCACGACTGTGAAGCACACTTAGCTGCCCCGTGCCAATCCCCGTACTCCCATGGATGCAACACTTGTGAAGATGCGGCTAAGACCCAGGGACTTCCGAGCCCTCTGAGGAGGCCCGCCCCTTCTCACTTCCCCCCCTCGCTCGCCGCCGAAACACGGCATCAGAAGAACCCGAGCGGCTGTGGCGCATCATTCGGAGCGCGTTTCTTCCTGGCGAGAACGCGCGTTGCGGCCAGACCTGGGTCAGAATAACATCCTTCAAGAACATGAGACCCTCCGCCGGCCCAACATGAAGATCACTCGAGGGTACCCTCCCCTAGGATGCACAAGAACATCCAACACACACACACATACACACACACTTTACGTCGCAGCGCGGCAGAAGCAGCCCGCACGCGCGTTCGGTCGGGCAGGCCAGGAGACGGCAGACGCCAATTGTCTGGCGGCAAGAGCGGGAGAGACACACGGAGGGGGCGGCCGCGGGCCGGAACATCAAACAAGCACGAAGAACATGAGCGTACCCTCCCCGAACCGACCTCGATCTTAGATCTCGGTCCGACCGCACGGAGGGGGGACAGGGGACGCCCTCCCTCCACTGCAGCGGGCCCCAGCGCCACCAGAGCGCTCGCGAGCACTTCCTGGGCCACCCCCCTCTTCAGTGGGCCCTGGCGCCAACAGAGCGCTCGTGCACACCTTGGCCTTGCGACGGCGACGACGACGACGACAATCATGAAAACGACGACGACGACGATGTCGACGAAGACGACTGGACGACGACGACGACGAACGACGACGACGACGTAGACGACGACGACAATGACAACGAAAACTGCACGACGATACGACGACTAGACGACGACGACGACGCCTTGACGACGAAGACGACGACTGGACGACTGCACGGCAAGACGACTGGACAACGGCACGAACAAGACGACGACGACGCAGACGACAAAGACGACACAGACGACGACGACGACGACGACACTGACGACGACGGCCACGACGGCGACGACGACGGCAAGGATGACGACGGCCACGACGACGACGACGACGACGACGACGACGACGACTGGACGACGACGACTGGGCGACGACCACGACGAATGTGCGAGTTGACGACGGAGACAAAACGACGACGACGACGACGACGACGACGACGACGACGACGACGACGACGACGACACGGATGCTGACGACGACGATGACGATGAGTGGGCGACGACGGCGACGACGACTGGTCGACGACTGGGTGACAACGATGAAGACCCCGACGCCGATGCCTAAGGCAACGCAGACTGCGACGAAACCGACGGTGGCGGCGACGACGACTGCACGACGAAACGACGACCTCCGACATATCCTCTCTACTCCGTGGTCGGCGCCTCGGAACACGAATCGGCACTGGAAGCACAATCGACTAAATCGTCTGGCTTACCGTCCCCCTCCAGCTCTTCCTGCTCCTGCCCTTTGCAACGTGTCTGCGAGCACGGGCCTTACGCACGCGACGGCCCAACGTTTGTTTGAGCACCCGAGCACCAGCAGTGGCCCCATGTGCACCCATGTGCCTGCGAACGCCACGCTATCATAGCTGTTACGAACCAGAGCATACGCTCCCCGCTCAAGCACTGCGGCCGCACTCTGCGGAGAGGCTTCGGTGAACAACGCGCACGCTACGGCAGCGCCAGCGGGCAGTGCTGGGGGCGCTCTTGGATGGGGGCGGAACGGGGGCATAACGCGCGTCATGGCACAGGACGACAAAGAGACTAGAGGGGGGGCGGGGAGGCCAGTCTGGTGCCAGGGCTCGCTGCCCATCGGGCGACCACTGATCTGACCCCCCTTCACAGGAAGCGGCGCCCCGTCCCGAAAGCAAGCCGCACCCTCCTCCCTCCCTCCTTCCTTCGCGCTCCTCCCTCCGCCTGAAACCTGGGACCTGGTGGCGTGAGGAGTCGTCGACTGCCGACCCCCCCAGGGCCGGTCGGCCCTGGGGGGCTGATCACACTAAACAGCCTGGTGACGACAGTGACCCTCTGCTGCAAGTATATGTGAGGTAAACAGAAGGATGACAGACATAGGGTCGGCGGCGAGCGAGGGGGTGAAGTGAACAGGAGAAGGCTGTCTCAGAAGGCGGCGGGACTTCTCAGAAACCCTCGCGCCTTCTGACAGGTTTTCTGCGTCTCCGGGGAAGCCCCAGAAAACTTCTCAGAGGGTCCGGGGACGCCCGAGCCTGCTGCGAAGGCCTTCTCCTCCTCACTCCCCTCCCTCGCTCTCCGCCGATGAAATATGAAGCAGGGGGACATCGAACCATAATCATATCGCGTCCCTCCGCCTCCTCGTCCTCCTCGCGGTGGAAGCCTTAGGTCCGGCATGCCCCCCAACCGGCTGATTTTGGGTGAAAAACAGAAGTACACAAACAGATCATCCGACATAATCATTTGTTTTTGAAATCCTCCCCTGACTATTTTTTGATAATTTTTGAATTCTCCTCCTGTAGAGAGACGTGCCCGACTTAATGGAATCCCCCGCGGGTTGCGTGGCGCGACAGGCGTAGCATTTTCTCCACACCACGTGGGTTGCCCAGGGGGTGGTCCCTGAGCGTGGTCTGTATCCGTTCCAAGGTCGCGGGGCGTGGCAGGCGTGGCACTGTCTCCATACCACAGGGGTCGCGCAGGGGGTGGTCCCTCACCGCGGTCTCTATCCGTCCCAGGGTCGCGGGGCGTGGCAGGCGTGGCACTTGATCCATTCCACAGGGGCTGCGCAAAGAATGGTCCCTCACCGCGGTCTCTATCCGTCCCAGGATCGCAGGGCGCGGCAGGCGTGGCACTTTCTCCACGCCACAGGGTTTGCGCAGGGGGTGGTCCCTCACCGCGGTCTCTATTCGTCCCAGGGTCGCGTGGCGCGCCAGGCGCGGCATTTGTTCCACACCACAGGGGTCGCGCAGGGGGTGGTCCCTCACCGTGGTCTCTATCCGTTCCAGGGTCGCGTGGCGCGGCAGGCATCTTTTTCTCCACACCACATGGGTTTCGCAAGGTGTGGTCCCTGAGCGTGGTCCTTATCCGTTCCAAGGTCGCGGGACGTGGCAGGCGTGGCACTGTCTCCATACTACTGGGGGTGCGCAAGGAGTTGGTCCCTCACCGCGGTCTCTATCCGTCCCAGGGTCGCGGGGCGTGGCAGGCGTGGCATTTTCTCGACACAGTAGGGGGGTGCGCAGGGGGGCGGTCTCTGAGCGCAGCCGTTATGCACCCCGGTCGTCCAGGGCATAACAGGCGTGGCACATTCTCGACACCATAGGGGGTGCGCAGGAGGTGGTCCCTGAGCGTGGCCTCTATCTGTCCCAGGGTCGCGGGGCGCGGCAGGCGCGGCACTTCCTTGTCGCCGCAGTGGGCGCGCAGGGGGTGGTCCCCGAGCGCGGTCTCTATCCGTCCTAAGGTCGCGGGGCGTTGCAGGCGTGGCGTGGCATTTCTCGGCGCCTCAGGGGGTGCGCAAAGCGTGATTCCTGAGCGCGGCCTTTATCCGGCACAAGGCCGCGCGGCGTGGCAGGCGCAGCATTTTCTCCGCACCACGGGGGGCGCGCAGGGGGCAAGTCTCGTGTGTAGCATTCCATCAGTTCCACCAACAGGGGCTTGCGTCTGTGAACATTTTGGCTCAAGACAGCTCGGAACGCAGGGGTTTTCACGCAGGCGCGCCCAGGTGCCCAATCGAAGGTAGCAGTTGCACGTTTGTCGCACGGCAGCTATTCTAACACAAGAGCAAACACGAAGTATGCGGGGTTCCTCGGCAACGTAATTTCTGTCTTGAACTCAGGAGGGGCCACATCCAAGCGGAGTAAGCCAAGACGGAGGCCGAGCACTCCGTGCGAACTCACTCGGCATGGACTCGGGACCCTCTTATGAGAGGCCAAGTCCAGACGGAGTAACCTCAAATGGAGACTCGGCGCTCCGTATGGAATTACTCCGCATGGACTCAGCCTCCGCTAGAAGACAGAGGGACGCGGCAGTCGTGACATCACGAGGAGCTCGTTTGCGAAGGATCCGCGGCGACGCCCGTGACTAGAAGAAGCAATAAGGCACACCACATACACTTTTGACGCTCCGCGCGGATTTCGTGGATTTGCTCTGGACCCCCCTCCCTGGCGCACGGAGCGCGCCAGGGGCGGCGCCAGAGGCGCCGCCGGGGGGCCCCCAGCGCGTAGCAGAGAAATGCGCGCGGAGCGCCAGAAGCTTATGTCTGTAGCGTTTTTTCTTCTGCGAGCCCCACCCCTCTCGCCCCTGCCCCTTCCCGGTCGCGCCGCTCTGGGGCAAGAGACAGTCTTCCACCCGTCCAGGTTGCGTGGGCTGCCTCCGAGGGAGGGGAGGGGGAAAACGCCATTGCTGGCGCTCTTCCGTTTCAGGAGGTTTCTCTTGGTCACTAGAAAAAGAAGAAGCCAGACAAACATAAACTTTTGGCGCTCCGCGCGGATCTCTTGGACCCGCGCCTGGCGCCCCTCCCCCCCCCCCGGCGGCGCCTCCTGCGCCGCCCCTGGCGCGCTCCGCGCGCCAGGGAGGGGGGCCCAGCGCGGATCCGCGAAATCAGCGCGGAGCGCCAAAAAAGTTTGCGTTTGTGGCGTGTTTTCTTCTTCGGGGTCTTCTGACCCGGGTCAATCCAGACCCAAGTCAGTGAGGCCTTGCAGGATCCTGCAAGATCCTGCAGGATCCTGCAGGACCCTGCGCCCGAACCTGGGTCAATGCGACCTGGCCCTGCAGGATCCTGCAAGATCTGGCCTTCTGGCTGACCCCCGTTTGCATTTACATCATGTCTCCCGATCCCCGGCTTCTTCTGGTCACTCCGATCGGTCCTCCGCCTCGATCCTGCCGGCCGCCCCTCCTCGCCACCGCGGGGCGCAGAGGCTCTCGCGCGCCTCCGGGCGCGGCGGCGGCTTCGCGAGCGGCTCCGTGCGCGGGGCGCCGCGCAGGAGCTCCTCGGGGAGCAGCGACGTGGCCGCGGCGAGGCCTGCGGGGACGCGGCGGGGGGCGGAGGGAGAGGAGGGCCGAGCTCCTCCCTCCTCCTCCCCCTCCTCCCTCCTCCTCCCTGCTCTTCCTCACTCCTCCCTCCTCCTCCCTCCTCCTCCCTGCTCTTCCCCCTCCTCCTTCCTCCTCCCTCCTCCCTCCCTCCTTCCGCCTCCTCCCTCCTCCTCCCTCCTCCTCCCCCCTCCCTCCTCCTCCCCCCTCCGTTCTCCTCCCTGCTTCTCCTCCTCCTCCTCCTCCTCCTCCTTCTTCCTCCTCCCCCCCTTCTCCTCCTTCCTTTTCGCATTGGCTTGCCGTTTGGCTGAAAAGCTGTAGCGTCTTCCCTCCTCCTCCCCTCCTCCCCCCTCCACCTCCTCACCTCCTCCTCTCCTCCTCTCCTCCTCTCCTCCTACCCCTCCTCCTCCTCCTCTCCTCCTCCTCTCCTCATCCTCTCCTCCTCCTCTCCTCATCTTCCCCCTCCTCTTTCCCCTCCTAGTCCTCGTCGCACCACCACCACGGCCCTGAGGCTGGAAAGTTCTCACATATACGAGAATGGAAGGCGGGTCGTTTACGAAGGCGGCCCTCGTCTGAGCGCACATGCGTCTTAAACGCTTCCAGCAACTGCAAGGATGGAGGGCCAACTGGGCTCTCCCCTTCGCGACGCACGCATTCGGCTTAATGCTTCCAGCGGCTACAGGGATCGAGGCTGGCTCCTTTTCAACAGTACTCCTGCAGTGAAGAATGTTGGTCAGGATGTATGCGGAGTGGGCTTGGGACGGGAAGGTGTTTTACATAATCGTTAGTGCATCATGGGTTTATTATGTAACTCCTCGTCTGCCTCCTCCCTCGCCCTCCCTGCTTGTATGCATGTCTGCCTGTCTGTCTGTCTTCCTGCCTGCCTGCCTGTCTGTCTATTTCTAAATATAGATGTAGACGTATACATATATGTATAGATATGTGTATCTCTCTCTCTCTCTCCGCCTCTGTCTCGGTTGTTTCTTGGTTTGTTGTTTGGTCTCTCTCTCTCTCTCCTGCTGTTTGGCGGAGGCTTCTTCTCGGGGGGATCCTGAAGGCCTCTGGAGCCCTTCGGGAGCCTCTGGGGGCTGCTTGGGGTCATCTTGTCGCCAACCGCGGCTTCCCTCAACGACCAGGTCCACACGTGGAGTGACTTGGGGGGGCGTTTTGGGGTCATTGGGCCGTCTCGAGGCCTGCTGGGCCATCTTGAAGCTCTGCTGTCGTTCTTGAAGCTTTTCGGGCCCATCTTGAAGCTATTTGGCAAACCTATTCGGCGGTCACGGACGCCGGGAATACGCACAAACGGATTTCCCCGAATCATACCAAACCCTAGGGTACACCAATGTTTCGTGCGGCCTTTGGGGTGGGCTCTTGGGGGTCTTCTTTCGGAAGTTTTGGGGCCTCGGCAATTTGTGAGGCAACTTTGGGGCCCTGTGAGGCCGTGCGGGCGCCCTCCCGACAGCTTTGGGCCTGTTTCAAAAGCCCAACGAGTACGTCCAGGAGGCCCAAGAACCCCAGAACACATCCTGCAAGGGCGCCCAGGAGGTCCAGGGGATCAAACTTCGTACTGCAACCTGCGCGATAAAATCTACATGCGGCAACCGATGGTCTTAACTAAATGTGGTGCGACCTATGCGGAGCAACATGTGTAGTTTAAGATACGTGATGGGACGTGAGTCGGGCATCTTATGTGGTGCGTGACAAATGGTGCAATCTATGGGATCCAATATGCATGGCGTAGGCCAGGTTTTGCAAGCTACGTCGGGAAAATCTTTAGGTGGTGCGACGAATGCGATGCAACCCATTTTGAGTTCGTGTATGTATGTAGATGTATGTATTGATGTACTTGTATATATATATATATATATATATATATATAGATGTGTGTACGCAAAAACTGTTTCGCTACAAATGCATCCCCACGCACGTACACATATTCACTATATATATATATATACATATGCGTATGTACACGTAAGTCTGGCATGCAGGGGATACAGAAAACACAAGTGAGTATGCCCGCCACCGTGCCCCGAGGCTCGAGCTGGAATGTCTCAGGTCCCTCGAGCTCTCCATCCTCAGTCCTCAGGTTTTGCGTATGTAGGGGCCCAGCCCCTACATTATCGGATTCGCTGGGGCGTGGCGCGTGTCCCCGCGCGTTACTGCGTGCTTTTCCTGGATGCCAATCGGCTCCCAAACGGGCCAATAATGCTCCAAAGAGCTCTCTAGACGGCTCAAGAGGCATCCAAAACGGCCCCAAAGTTTCTTAGGGCGCTGAAGACAGCCTCTAGACAACCCAAGTGGTCCCCAAGACGCCCCAAGAGGGCTCCAAAAGGCCCCCCAAGAGAGCCCCGAGAGACCCAGCCCTTTGGGCGTGAGTGGTTTAGAGAGCCCGCTCTGTTCTCAACTCCCCTTCTTCCCCTTCGGGGAGGGGTTTACCCCTCCCCCTACCCCCTCCCCCTGGGCCTGGAGAGGGCGCCCCGCGGGTCGTTGGAGGGGTCTTTTTCGACTCCTGGGAGGGCTAAAAAAAACGACACCCCTCACGAGGATTCTGGCCCCGACGGGGGGAGGCAGAAAAGTGCGCCCCTCTTCTGTGAAGCCAAAATCATTGATTTTACTACGGTTGTGGCCCCATTTTGGCCTTCTGAGGGGGCAGCGCTAATTAAAGCTCCCCTCTTCTTTCAAGCCAAAATCATTGATTTTACTGAGGTTTTGGCCCCCATGTTGGCCTTCTGAGGGGGCAGCGCTAATTAAAGCTCACCTCTTCTTTGATCGATTTCCTCCAAGATGGCCCCAAGAAGCGCCCAGGAGGCACCAAGAGGCCCCAAGATTGCCCCAAGAGGCCCCCAGGAGGCCCCCAAGAGGATCCCAAACGGCCCAAAGAGGCCCCCCCCGAGGCACCCAAGACGCCGAAAAACCCATCAGGACGACCCTCTACTCGCCTGGGCGTCGTTTCTGGACGGGCAGGAGGAGGGGCCCGAACGACTCACACCAGGACGAGGGGCCCGAACAACTCACACCACGAGAAGCCCGAACGACTCACACCAGGACGAAGAGCCCGAACGACTCACACCACGAAGAGCCCGAACGACTCACACCAGAAGAAGGGCCCGAACGACTCACACCAGGACGAGGCGCCCGAACGACTCACACCACGAGGAGCCCGAACGACTCACACCACGACGAGGGCCCCGAACGACTCACACCACGAGGAGCCCGAACGAGTCACACCAGGAGGAGGGGCCCGAACGACTCACACCAGACTCACACCAGGACCCGAACGGGGCCCGAGCAGGACTCACACCACGAGAAGCCGGAACGACTCACACCAGGACGAAGAGCCCGAACGACTCACACCACGAAGAGCCCGAACGACTCACACCAGGAAGAAGGGCCCGAACGACTCACACCAGGACGAGAAACCCCAAACGACTCAAACCACGAGGAGCGCTTTCTCTCCCTCCTCCTCCGCCTCGTCCTTCTCCCGCTCCCACAAGGAGGCGGGGGGAAGGAGGAACAGGGGAGATATGCGGGGGCAGGCGGACACACGCCTGAAAAACACGACTGTCGGCATGTTTCGCAAGAGTTGCTGTTTTGAGATGGGCTGGTGGGGATACGCGAAGCGTAAAGAATCCCACCAGCCCTCTGGGCGTAGGTGGTCTAGAGCAGATCCTCTTCCACCCCTCCCTCTTCCCCCTTGGGGAGGGGTTTACCCCTCCCCCTACCCCCTCCCCTGGACCTGGACGGGGGGGCCGCGGGTAGTTAGAGCGTCCAAGATGGCCCAAGACGGCTCCAAGAGCGCCTCAGAGAACCCAAGATGAGCTCCAAGATGGCTCAAGATAGCGCAAGATCGCTCACGATGGCTCCTTAGATGGTTCCAAGAAGCCCAAAGACGGCCCCAAGATAACTCCAAGTGGCCAAACAGCTCCCCAAGGAGGCCCCGAAGAGGCCAAAATCGTCCCAAAACCTAAGGAAAATCAATGATTTTTGCATTCTCGCCTTTTCGCTTCCGATGGCCATCCGAGGCCTGGAGATGGTTCCAAGATGGCCCAAGAGGGCCCCAAGAGAGCCCCAAAAGAGCCCCAAGACGGCCCCAAGAGCGCCCAAGAGCACTCCAAGAGCGTTCCAAGAGGGGGCCAAGAGGCGATTTTAGGGGCTTCCGAGGGGGGACGCTAATTAAACCCCCCCTCTTGTTTGATCGATCTCCTCCAAGATGGCCCCATGAAGCGCCCAGGAAGCCCCAAGAGGTCCCAAGATGGCCCCAAAATGGCCCCAAGAGGCCCCCAAGAGGCCCCCCGGAGGCCCCCAAGAGACCCCCAAGAGGCCCCAAGAGCCCCCCCAGATGCACCCAAGATGCTCCAAGAGGCCTCGGCGAGAATGCCTAATCATTGATTCTACACAGGTTTTAGCCACATGGAGGCCTCTTGGGGGGGGGCACGGATTAAGATGACTCCAAGAGCGTCTGGGAGAGCCCAAAATGACCTCCAAGATGGCTCAAGATATCCCAAGATGTCTCATAATGGCTTCCTCTGTGTGCTGCCCACTTCTCTGATCGAGGCAATTCCTCTGGGCATCGTTTCTGGATGGGCTGGTGGGGATTCGCGAAGCGACAACAATTTCTTAGGGCGCTGAAGACAGCCTCTAGACAACCCAAGTGGTCCCCAAGACGCCCCAAGAGGGCTCCAAGAGGCCCCCCAAGAGAGCCCCGAGAGACCCAAATCATTGTTTTCTTTCTTACAAATGCTGTATGGGTTGAGTGGGTTTATCCTTCTCACTCGTTCGGGCTTCGAACGCTCCGAGACGGCCAAAGGCCCAACATATCGCCTTAAGGCGTCCCGGACGGCCCACGAGGCCCCCCAAGAAGGCCCCAGAGGACTAGAAGAGAGGGTCACAAAAGAGGACGCGGACTGAAATGTCGAGACCTCTGCCCCAAGGCGACCACCGAGAGGCCATCAAAAAACCACCCGCCAGAGCCCAAGAAGTTTCTTTTTG